TGCTGCAGCAGCTGCACCAGCAGCACGCGTTGCAGCTGCAGCAGCTGCAGGAGCAACAGCAGCAGCAGCAGCAGCAGCAGCAGCAGCAGCAGCAGCAAGAGCAGCAGCAGCAGCAGCAAATTGCAATCAAAACAGAACCATTAAGCCCCGCGGAGGAGCGGCCAGAGAGCAGCAGCTCGGAGCAGCAGCAGCAGCAGCAGCAGCAGCAGCAGCAGCAGCAGCAGCAGCAGCAGCAGCAGCAGCAACAGCAGATTGAGCAGCAGGAGCAATACCTTCTGCGTTTGAAACAGATGTGGTCGCATGTGGTGCAGCAGCTGCAGCAGCAGCAGCTGCTGGAGCAGCAGCAGCAGCAGCAGCAGCAGCAAGGGATTGCTGAGCAGCAAAGACAGCAGCAGGTGCAGCAGCTGCTGCAGCAGTACGTACAGTATACTCATCAGCTGCAGCAGCAGCAGATGCAGCTGCAGCAGCTGCAGCAGGTGCAGCGGCTGCTGCAGCAGCACGAGCAGCACCAGCAGCAGCAGCAGCAGCAGCAGCAGCAACATGGAAGCCAGCGGTATCTGCAGCAGCAGCTGCTGCTGCAGCAGCTGCGCTATTACTATCATAGGCAGCAGCACCACCACCACCACCATAGACGCAGGCAGCAGCAGCAGCAGCAGCAGCAGCAGCAGCAGCAGCGCTACCGCCACCACCACCACCACCACCATCACCATCACCAGCAACAGCAGCAGCAGCAGCAGCAGCAGCAGCAGCAATACCAGTATTACTACCACCTGTATCAGCAGCAGCTACAGCAGCAGCTACAGCAGCAGCAGCAGCACCACCACCACCATCACCACCACCAGCAGCAGCAAGAGCTGCAGCACCCCTACCACGAGCCGCAGCAGCAGCAGCAGCAGCAGGAGGAGGAGGAGGAGGAGGAAGAGCAGCAGCAGCAGCAGCAGCAGCAGCAGCAGCAAGCAGCAGCAGCTGCTGATACCCCTTCACCTGTATCCCCCTACATGCATGCACTGCATGCGCCAGGGGCGTTTCCTGCTGCAGCATTTGATGCTGCAGCAGCAGCAGCAGCAAGCAGCAGCAGCGGCAGCAGCAAGAGGAAGAGAGGCGGCAGCAGCGGCAGCAGCAGGAGAAAGAGCAGCAGCAGCAGCAGCAGCAAAAAAACCAAAAAGAGACAAAGACTGGGGGAGGAAGGAGACGATTGGCTTGACGATGAAGACATAGATACAGAAGCAGCAGCAGCAGCAGCAGCAGCAGCAGCAGCAGAGCAGCAGCAGCAACGACCCTCATCATTTGCTGCTGCAGAAGAAGAAGAAGAAGCAGCAGCAGCAGCAGCAGCAGCAGCAGCAGCAGAAAGAGCAAGTGTTATTGTACCCAGACACCCCTATGTTCTTGCTGCTGTTCGTGGGTTTGCTGCTTCTAGGCAGCAGCGAAGAGCAGCAGCAGCAGCAGCAGCAGCAGCAGAGGAAGCAGCAGTAGCAGCAGCAGCAGCAGAAGCAGCAGAACGATTGAGAAGAGCAGCAGCAGAAGAAGAAGAAGAATATGAAGATGAGGAGGAATACGACGAAGACATAGAAGCAGCAGCAGCAGCAGCAGCAGCAGCAGCAGCAGCAGAAGCAGAAGCAGAAGCAGCAGCAGCAGCAGCAGCATCATCTCTCCCATCTACCTCATCCTCTTCCTTATCCTTATCCTTATCCTCCGCAGCAGCAGCAGCAGCAGCAGCAGCAGCAGCAGCAGCAGCAGCAGATGAGGACCCAGGCCCTCTTCCTTTTCCTCCTTTTTCAGGTGTATGCATGCATGCATTCTGTCGTCTCCCACAAACAGACAAAAATTTATTTTATCGACAAATAAAACCCCAAAATATATTTACATGTATAAATATAACAGCTAGGCCAATGGGGCTGCTGCGTGCTGCACATAAGCTGCTGCAGAAGCTGTATATACACCCCAATGAAGCAGCAACGCTTTGTTTAATTACAGAGAGACTAGCTGCTCATTTATATAGATTTCATTCTTCTCCTATAAAAGCAGCAACAGCAGCAAGAAGGGTTGAACTTCTAGCTATTCGTTTTCTGCTGCTAGATACTGTTGTCTCTTCTTTGTATGTATTAGGTGTTTTCCCCCGCAGCAGCAGCAGCAGCAGCAGCAGCAGCAGCAGCAGCAGCAGCAGCAGCAGCAGCAGCAGCGGGGGGGGGAAAGAAGATTTTTGGTGGTGGAAAAAGCTTATTAAAAATATTGATATATCTCTTCCTGCTGCTGCTGCTGCTGCTGCTGCTGCTGCTGCTGGTGGTGGTAGAATACATAAAAGAAAAAAACAACAAAATATAAATACAATGCTAGCAGCAAAGCTAACCTTGGCGCTGCAGCAGCTGAAAGAGGGACGAAGACCATCACCACTAGATATATATAAAATAAAATATATTTTATTTTGTTCTTCTTCTTCTCCTTCTCGCTTTAAAAAAAATACATATAAACCATGGATAGATGACTGCAGAGAATTAGATTG